CGATTCAGACAGCGTGCTCGGACTCTCATCCATTTCCTCGTTTGCGCCTTCTTCTTCGCTATCGTCCTCACCTGAAACGACTGGATCTCCATCCTCGCATGCAACTTTGAACAACTTCAATTGGGAACAATGGGCGGTCGTCTCATACGAGGTGCGTCCGAGCTGAGTAATTCTATAAGTGTCGTTGGGCAAAACTTGGCTGATAAGGAGCGGACCTCGATACTTCCGCTGCAATTTGGTAGGTTCGCCGGTCTGCACTGGTAACCTACGAACAACCACCACATCTCCGACCGAGTACCGCTCCAAATGCGGTTTCCGATGCTTGTTGTACTGCTTCGAATACTCTTGCTGAGAGTCATGGATTGCCATCCTCACCTCGTCGCACACGGACTGCGGTGGACGCCATCCACTCGTGGACTGCTTGCTGTCGACATATTGGCTCGCATTATCCAACCGAGGAAGATACCCATGAAGAATCTCAAACGGAGCCTTCCCAGTCGACTTCGCAGGCGCTCTGTTGATATGCGACACCACTATCGGAAGTTTTCCCACCCAATCCTTCTGTTCTGGATGTTTACAGAGCTTCCGAAGAACTGTCGCTATGGTCTGATTCATTCTCTCGGTCTGTCCATTGGCTTGAGGATGCTGCGTTGATGTCAAGATGTGACGAATTCCCTTGTCTTTCATAAACTCCTCAAATTTCTTCGATGTAAAGGCAGTCCCTCTATCTGAGATCAAAACTTCAGGTATCCCAAACCTCAGGAAAACGCTTCCCAAAAACGCAATGACATATCTTGTCTCTGTTGATTTAACTGCCTCTGCGGTCACGTACTTCGATAAACTATCAACCAGTACAATGATATGTTCTTTGCCGCTCGCTTTAGGCAGCGGTCCTAGATGGTCAATCATGACACGTTGGAAAGGTCTCCTCGGGGGAAGAGAAGTCTGTAGGAAGCCTTCAGACCTCCCTGCTTTCACTTTGTTGAACAGACACTCTATGCACGCTCTGATATGTTGATTGACATACTTTTTCATCTTCGGAAACCAGTATTTCTCTGTGATAAGCTGCAGAGTTTTGTCTGAGCCGAAATGCCCGCTCTTGTCATGCATCATCACGCATAGGTATTTCCTTGTCGACTTCGGTACTACCAACAGGAGTTTCTCGGTGTCCTTCTCGATTTTCTTCCTGAACAACACTCCGTCAATAATCTCGTAGTCGCTCTCTTTCCCTTGCTCTTTGGTCTCCACAACCATGTCGATCGTCCTCTTCAGCTCTCTGTCCTGCTGTTGGATCATAGCGATAGAGTCTTCAAATGTCTTCAGTTCCCACACCCTCTTGATCTTCGACGCGGGTCGGGTTCTCGATTCCAAGACTCCATCGGATCTTTCGGTCCATTCTTCCTCTTCCGGTGCCTTGTCGTTCGGTGCTTCGTCGACTGGATACCTGCTGAATGCATCAACGTGTTGCATTTTCGTACCGGGTCGGTGTACCACCTCGAAGGAAAACTCGGCCAATCGATTGAGCCATCTGGCTATCTGACTCGTCGAAGCACTCTTACTCGTTAATGCCTGCACTGCTACGCAATCCGTGACGACTTGGAAGGTCTCCCCATATAAATAATGTCGAAATCGCTCGCAGGCCCAAATCACGGCCAGCTGTTCAAGCTTCGTTGAATGATACCTCTTTTCTGTGGCGGACAATCTCCGACTCACGGCGTAAATCATTCGCCAGGATCCGTCAAGCTTCTGCATGAGAACACCACCCAGACCACTTCCGCTTGCATCCGTGTGAAGTTGAGTGGGTCTCCCACGAAGGAACTTCACCAATATAGGCTCCGCCAGGAGCAGCTTCTTCAACTGCTCGAAGGCTCGTTCGCACCCTGGCGTCCACTCGAAATCTGTTTCTTTCTTTAGCATTGAAGTCAGTGGATCCGCAATCGAAGCGAATCCCCGGATAAATCTTCTGAAGAACCCAGCCACACCTAGGAACTTCCGAACTTCATGAGTATTCCCTGGCCTCGGGTATTGCTCGATAGCCTTCAGATTTTGTCGTCCGGGCTGAACTCCTTTCTCCGATATCGTGAAGCCCAAGAAATCCACCTCCTCCATGAAGAATTTGCACTTCCGCAGTCGAATCGTCAGCTTGGCTTCTTTGAGTACCGCTAGAATCTTCGCGATTTGATCCAGATGCTCTCGATAATGATTGGACGCCGCTATCATGTCGTCGATATACGGATAAACCGCGTCTGTCCCTACCGCTTTCTGAATTCTATTCATCATCTCCTGAAAAACGGCTGGACCGTTGGCAAGTCCCATCGGCATCACGACTGGTTCATAATGTCCGTCCGGCGTGATGAAAGCCGCCTTTTGATCCGACCCGGGTGCCATGGGTATTTGGAAGTACCCCCATGCGAGGTCGAAAGTTGAATACATGCGCTTCCCACCCACCGCGTCCAATATATCGTCGATGAGCGGAATGGGAAAGTTTCTCCTGATCGTCTGACTATTTAGCCGGCGGTAATCGATTACAAGTCTCCAGGAACCATCCTTCTTCTTAACAAGCATAACAGGACTGGCATAAGGTGAATGGGACTCCCTGATTATACCCGCCTCCAACATTTGCTGAATAATTTCCTTCAAAGCGTCTCTCTCCAGATTCGACAAGCGAAAAGGCCTCGACCACAGTGCGCGGCTACCTGCTACCTCATCTATGTGACACTCAGCCATATCGGTTTTTCCCAAGGTCCCCAGTGAAGTCGCCATAACTTCCTGGTGCTTATTCAGCAGAGTCAGGAGCTCTTCTCGTATAACTGGCGGTAGCATACGGCCTGTCTCCACATCATTTTCCTCGATATGCCTCTGAACCTCAATCTTATTTATAGCTGAACTTCCTCGGCGCTCGATCGTTGGCTCCAGAGCATATATGTCTCTATCTTGAATGACACTCCCCTTCGCCACTACATCACCCTTTTTAAATTCTTTGTCTTCTCGATCGGAGTTGGTCAGAGGTACGAGCACTCGTCCCTGATCCACCTTGCACAGCACCGCCGAATACTTTTCCTCCTGTACTAGCAGTGATCGCGCAGATGAATCACGGAGAATCGCTTCGACAAACTTCACCGTTTTTGCCGGTACCACCACATTCTCTCCTGCCCGTAACTTGATTTCGATCTTTTCGACTCCGGGCTCCTCTTCAACTGGTTCTTCCTTCATGAGCTCGAAGAATGATTCTGGTTTCAATATCCATGACGATCCCGCACAATAAATTGTGATCAGACCTCGATCCAAGAGATCCTTGCCAATCAGGATATCATTACTTGAAATCGTTCCGTCGGGCAATACCGTGAGTACAACTCGCTCCAACTCTAATCCATCGGCCCGCAACTGCACCACTGCCTGTCCCAGTGGCACACAACGGCCGCCCGCTATACCGAGTACCGCCTTCACTGGGCTCGGCGATAATTCGAGCTCCATCAGTTTTGCGGCCGTCTCATTGACAACTGTCAATTCTGCTTCCGTGTCGACGCGAGCCGTCCAGGGTTTCCCGTTTATAGCGACTTCCTTTAGTCCTGCAACAGCGGACTCGTGCAAACTTGCTTCCGTTGACATCCCAACCACTTGCCTGACTTCTCGACTCTCGCAGTTCGATGCGAAATGACCAGTCTTTCCACACTTGAAGCAAGTAATACCTGGTCTTTCCCTGCTTTGAAACTGGCGCCGAGAGTCAGATATTGATGTTTCTGGCTGACCATCTTGCGTTCCTGAACCACTGTTTGTTGTCGAGCCGCTCGCTCGTACGGTCGCTTTCCTCGACTGTGAATCCTGAAGCTGGTTGCGACTTTCCTCGGATAGCCGTCTGGATTTAGGTCGCGCACCGAAACGCCGATCTTCGCACCGCGTTGTTAGCGTGTCCGATTCACAATCCGCGGCTTTATGCCCCTCGAGGTTACAGTTAAAACACACCAGTCGTCGATCCTGTCTGAGATGAGTTCGAGAGCTATACGAACTCACCGGTCGCCCCGTTCGCATTTGATTAAACATCATGGTGTCGGAGATATCTCTCACCAGTTCTGAAACGTCGGTGTGTTGCCGGCCTCGAATCTCATGAATCACATAGTCCGCGTATTCCGAATTCAGCCCGCGGAGAATATAATCCTTCGTCACCTCATCGTCCAATTTCAGCTGCTTCGTAATGTTCTCCACTCTGCGGGCAAAAATCTCAAGACCCTCACTGCGCTGCTGCCTGCAGCGTGACAGTTGGTCCAATAGCATCGCTTGCGTTCTCCTCGGTATATACGCCGCTCTGAATTTTTCTTCCCATTCCTCGAAGGTTCCCAGATCCGCTCCGTTGTTGCGATGCCATATCCTCGCTGGCCCCGCCATCTTGTTGAGTATCACACTCCACGTGACATCGATCGACCATTTCCCTATCTGTTTTGCCAACTTCACTTGACTCAGCCACTCGTCCGCTACCTGCCCTGTTTCTCCATGAAATCGATCTACAGAATGCGAGGTGTCAACCGGTCGTTCCACCAACCTCAGGGTAGGCTTATTTCCTTCGTCGGCGGTCTGTAGCTTTCCGAAGCTCTTGCTGATCGCTTCTGCGAGCATCTCGGTTAGATGCGCCATCGCTTGTGGTTCCATCGTTTCCTTCTCCGAGGGTAACGCAACGTACGCTTGACGACCCCACTTCTGATTTGTGAGCAACTTCTGTTAGGCTATTGGATATCAAGCAGAACACGTCTCGTTGATCGAAGAAGTCTCCACGAACTGAGAGGGTTGTTTATTCTGACATCGGCGTCGGTCGGTCTCACTCTTACTCTCTTATCGCTATCGTCAATGTCGATATGCCTGCATCGAAATCAGCCGCTGACAACTGCTACCATACTAAATGCCCTCATTTACTACCTCGCTTACTTAGCTATTGAGTACACGCTATTCTCGTTACCTCCTTACGCTATTATTTATCATTATCATATACAATATGATACCCGACTCGATCACTTCAAACTTCGCAACATCACATGATGCTGCACGCAGTCTCTCTGGAAGTGTCCCCACTTCCCACAACTATAACACTTGACAGTGTCGATCTTCGCTGCACAGCAGCGAGCAAAGTGTCCGAACTCGTGACAATAGTAGCATTCATTTGTTCGGGCTGGACAAACCGGGTCACCTCGCCGGTGGGTGAACCCCCAACAGTCGACACACCGTTGTTGTTCGACTCGCGTACGCTCATCCCTTGCTTCTTGCTGCTCGTTTTCGGTGCGCTCGCGACGCTCGGTATCTCGTTGATTCGGTTCTTGAACCGGTCGCTCCGGATCCCTTTCGGTGTCTTCGTCGTCATCGTTGATGACGGGCAACTCGGGCACCTCCAAAACCTGGGCGACGCCGTCCGCGGGCCCCTCCTCGCGACACTCTTGAGATTCCGGTTGTTCGCGCTGCTCCCAATCGTCCTCGTCGGGGATCTCCACGTGCCACCATTTCTTCTGGCGGTGTCGACCTCTCCCGCCAAGCCGTGGTCGGGACTCGTTCACGTTCAGATCGCAGGTACTTTCGAACGGTACCTCCTCCGTGTCGTCGCTGTCGTAGTACTCGTAGAGCCTGACTTCGTTCCGGAACTCGACCGAACGGCTCGATTCCCCTTGCTGACGCCGGTTTGCGCGTTTCTGAGATTCCTGCTTTTGCATCTCGTACGAATACATCACGATATCGTGCATTGCAGCCCCGAACGCCGTCGCCGTCTCGGCGAGCTTCAGCCACATGTCCATTGGAGCCGACATCCGTGGGTTTCTCGGGTCCTCGCGTAGGATACCCTTGGGCTGTCGTGGTCGCTCATCCTCCATCTCTGCACCCGAACCGTTTGCGTCGTTAACTCGAAACTCGTGTACGACAGCTTAAGTCGACAATTCAAAACGACAAGACACTGACTCGTTCCGCGCTCGGCTACGAACGACTCGATACAAGAACCCCGCTCCCCGTCTCCACTCTCGACTTCCGCCAGAACGCCCTCTACCGACAACTCGTCCACGCTACATTACATGATGCCCTCATCATCCTAACTCTATTATACCTTCGTGTACTCAACTATCTATTTCCCTAATCAATGTTACGACCTCTCTTTTTTTTTTTTACTTCGAAACCAAACATTAATTATCCTTTTAATCTACCTTCCGTATCTGCCTTCGAATTTCGCCGCCCGAACAGGATCCCTCCTCCCGCTCGTCTCGACCCTTTCTTCCTCTTCTTCCGATCCTCTCGTCGGTGACTCGAGAATAGCCGAATTCAAGTCGACGTTGCCGGTCCGCTCAAATTTCGTTGTTTCCTTTAGCTCGTCGCGACCGAATTCCTCCAACATCATCGAAATCTCGTCGATGTCACCGTCGTTCTCGCCTCCAACCGACATCATTGTGACATCCACATTCGGCTGTTGAATATTATTTCCTGAAGTACTCGGTTCCTCTTCGTTAATGTCTGGAATTCCAAGTGGTTTGTCATTCAATGGAACTATCTCGTCCTCCTCTAACCCACGGACATTATACCAGCGTAATTGGGAGCAATGAGCGGTGCATGTGTAGCTCTTATCTTTTCCCAGTTGGACCAATCGATACGAATCTTTTGGCAATATCTCGACCACAGTCAATGGTCCCCGAAACTTCGGTTGAAGTTTTGTCGGCTGTCCTGTTTGGACTGGCAATCTCGAAACTAATACAATGTCTCCTATTTTGTAACGGATCTTATGCGGTTTCCTCTTCTTATCGTAATTTCTCGCGTACTCTTCCTGGCTCTTCTCGATCTGCTGTCGAATCTCGTCCCTCACTTCTTCTGCCGGTCTCCAAACGGTTTCTTGCATATTTTCAACCACTTGAGAAAAATTATCGAGGACATTGCCGGCCCATTGCCGGACGAGGATATTGACTGGGAGCCCTACGTGGTTCATCACCGCGTGCTGGATGATTCCATAGAGCTCTCTCATGATGAAACGGGATGGATTGCCTTTCCGCTCCAAGACTCGTTCGAATTCGATTCCTTCTCCACAAAAGAAGTCATCGTCGGCCCTCATTACTAGACATGCGAGACGGGCAAGGAATTAAATATCAAGCTCTAAGGAAGAATCCTATTCGTGTTAGGCAGAAGAAACTCACGATGCTCGTCGTCGGCGTTCGTTAGATTTTCGATGGCGATTGTGATGTCTTTCGGGGATCCCTCCATGGAGAGCTCTCTCATTAGGGCTTTGATGGTCTTCTTGTCTTCCACGCACGGCAGCACGACCCGCTCCAATACGTTCATCGTGATCTCTGGACTCAAACATCGCTCCTTTCTCCAAATCATCAGACCGTGAAACCCTGTTGCTTCGGTGACTTCGCCACTCGTTGCAGCTTCCAATAGGTCGGCGATATGATCCGCAGATTCGCACTCCATCGCCCCGAACACATGAGTAGGAGCTCAACTCGAGCATGACGTCTTGAGACCGCATTACAGGGTAAACGGTTCGGTCCGGTTCCCACAGGCCTGTATCAATCCTTTAGCTCTCGAGGTGCGTCATTCGCGCACCAGATGCTTGTCTAAGGAAAAAGTCCGCATCCAACCTCCGAGGAGAGCGCACGTGTTTCCGTGAGCTCCCTCGCTGTTTGAGATACGAGGTCGTGTTTAGTGACAAAGGTCGGCCGTCGGAAGACAACCACACTGAGCTGCGGACGGGCAGTGTGGGGCCACCGAGGGAGGAGCTACAGATTTAAGAGTGAAAGCTGAAGCTTCGAGAACACGGCGATTGGATCAACGGTCAACCGCGGGGACAACCGCACGAGCGCCCCCTAGGGGCACGTGTCAACTTTCGGCCATCTCGCATCTGGCGCGGAACCCTCGCCGAGAGCATGGAAGGGAGAAAGGGAGACGAAGCCATCGGCTATGAGACTGCGGCGGAGGACTCCCAGGAGCCTTTGGAGAACCCGGGCACCGTGAACAGGCACCGTGGAGCCAATACAGAGCGGTCTGCCGAACCGGCCCGGCTCAGAGAGACAGCACACAATCGTGGTACGACCCAGAGAGTAAACCAAACGACGGGCATGGCCGATATCCGTGACTTGTTCTCGGCGGAAATCATGCGCTCAGTATCCTCGTCAACGCCCTTGAAGGCATCAGAGACCCGGAGCAACACAGTGGCTGCACAATTATCGGCGCCCGAGAACGGAAGACCGAAGAGGGCCAAGAAGGGTGCGAAGAGGGCGAGAGGCGAGATGGACGGAAACGACCACTCACAGTGCGAATCCACCATCTCACAGAACCCTGAAGATCCCACGGAGACGCTCCCGGAGCTGTATAGGGAGGTTCACAAACTCTGGGAGAGAGCAGATGAGCTAGACGATCTCATCGGGGAGTGCCCGGAAATAGGGAGGGCGATCAAAGGGAAGATCCGGACGATCCGGAACATGGCTGTAGGGGTGTGCCGCAAGGCGGATCTCTTGCGGGAGCAGAGAGCTACTCTGAAGAGCTGCGGAACACAGACGGAGAAAAGCTCTAATCAGCTCGCGGCCGAAGAAAGAAAACTGGAAGAGGCAATGCAGTTCCGAAAGAAAATATCCGAAGCAGGCAAAAATACGACGAAATTAGCGCAGCTCTTGGCGGACGTGTGGCCGAGAAAAGCTTTCGTGAAAACAAAACTCGTGAAGAGCAGCATTCAGGCAAGCAGGAGCCACAGGGCGATCATCGTCAGGGCTGACAATCCGAAGGACAAAGAGCGGCTACGGCTCATGGAGTCTCAATTTCCGGGTATGGATCATAATAAGATCATAACCAGTCTGAGGCTAGGGGGGATCGCGACTTTGAAGAGCGAGAGCAGCGCAGTTATCGAAGATGAGAGCAGCGGGGAACGGCAGCCAACTCAGGCTCAAACTCTCCTGGTGGGAAAACTCGGACGGGAGACCGAGGAAGACGACCGCGAGGAAATGGTCCGACTTTACGAGAAGATCGTGACGAGCCTTGCCGAGAGAAACTGCGAGGGAGCGATGATACAACCTCCGGCATCAGATGACTTGGAGATGTCTCGGAGGGCTATCGAGTGCGTCGCCGACGGGATGAACATGGCAATCGAAGTAGGCGCCAAGAGCTCGCTGAAGGCGAAGAAAAGCAGGGACGGATTGAAGAGTCGGAGACCCGCGAGCGAGAAGCTAGACGTAGGTGTGCTGATGGTGAAGCCGAACGGCCGAAGTTTCGCAGACGCCGTGAGAGACCTCAAAGCTCACGTCTGGGCCAAGGATGACGGAGTCGCTCTAGAGAGGATCTCAGTCACAAAGGATGGAGAAATCCGACTTCAGGTGAAGGAGAAAAGAGCAGGAGGGAAGGATGCATTCGCAAGAGCCCTGTCTGAGAAAGCACCGCAGCTTAAGGCGGAGATCACTAATGTGACAGTCTTGATGCCAGTGGCGATACGAGGGATCGACTGCACAGTAGACGCTGCGGAGGTGGAGGAAGCCCTGGAGGGAGCGGGAATTCCGAAGGAACACGTGAAAGAGAGAGTAAAGCTCGGGGACCCGCAGCTGGGACGGCCAAGTGGCAGGACCGCTCTAGTGAAGCTCCCTCGGCCTTTGGCCTGGAAACTCCTCAGACTCGGAACCATTAAGATCGGCTGGTCAGGCTGCAACTGCCGCATAACGGAATGGGAGCAGCCGCTGTGTTGCTTCAACTGCCAGCGTTTCGGACATCTAGCCAGAGACTGCGCAGAAGAAAAGGAAGAACCCAAGAGATGCTACCGCTGCGGAAATACGGACCACATCGCGAAGAACTGCACCGACAGCCTGAAGTGCTACGTCTGTGGCGCTGAGGGCCACCGGGCAGACTCCCGAGGGTGCCCCAAGCAACGTGAAGCGAGAGCGAAAGCTAGCGAAAGCAGAACAGCAGAGGACGCATCGAAGGCGGCAAAACCGAAAGCCCGCGGACGACAGCGGAGAAGAAATATGGAGGTGGACCATTTCGAGGACGGGATGGCCGATGCCGACGCCGACACCGCGACGGCAGGGGCAAGAGCACCAATGCAACCTGAAGAAACGGGAGGGCGAGCGACGGGCGAAAGCCGAGAGAGAACGAGAGCGGCCGAAGAGGGTGATGCAACTCAACGACCCCCACTGCAGCAGACTTACGTTGTCAACCAAGATGATGATTCTACAATGCAACACCAACAGGAACGGTGCAGCACACGACCTGCTCGACAGCACGCTTAGGACGGACGGCTACGACGTTGCGCTCATAAGCGAACCGAACAAAGCACGAATGGAGAAAGCTCGCTGGGCGACAGATCCCGCAAAGGATGCAGCAATATGGGTTTCAAAAGAAATGGAGGGAAGAATCGTGGCCCGGGGCAGAGGGAGAGGTTTCGTTTGGATCGACGTCGGATCGACTGTATTCTACAGCTGCTATATATCGCCAAATGTAGGCCAACCGAGGTATGAGGAGTTCTTGGACGAGCTGAGCCAAAGCGTCAGACCATGGGGAGCGCGACGACTCGTGGTTTTAGCTGGCGACTTCAACTCCCACTCGGTGGAGTGGGGCTCACGTATCACAAATGCGAGGGGCGCAGCTCTCACGGAATTGACTGGAGAGCTCGGAATGACATTGGCCAATGATGGAACAACACCGACTTTCAGAAAAGGGGAGATACAATCTTTTCTCGACCTGACTTTCTACACGGAAGAAGCGAGACACAGAGTGCGAGGATGGAGAGTATTGGAAGAAGAGAATCTAAGCGATCATCGCTACATTCAATTCCAAGTGGTGAAGGATCAGCCACCCACACGTAGGGTATCTTCCGAGGGTACAGCGACGGCGCGCTTCAAGTGGAACCCGAGAAAACTGAATCTGGAGGTGGTCCGGAACGTGATAAGAGAGTCCTCCGACGCGAAAGAGCCCATCACCACTCCGGAGCAAGTCAGCCAGATCCTAGAGAGGGCGTGTACAAAAGCAGGGAAACCCAGAGGAAGAGGGCGAAGACGAGAGCCGCAGTATTGGTGGACCGCGGAAATAGCCGAGGCTAGAAAGAATTGCGTTAAGCTTCACCGCAGATGTTACAGATCGAGACGACGACCGCAAGACGCCGAGGAAGCACTCTGGCAGTACAAAGAAGGGAAGAAGGAGCTCAAGAGGCTGATACAGAGAAGCAAGAAGCTCAAGTGGGAGGAACTATGTGACGAAGTGGAGAGAAACGCTTTCGGAGATGCGTACAAGATAGTCATGAAGCGGCTGGGTCCGGGAATCCCCAAGATGCACGGCAGCATGGTGGAGAGAGTGGTGGCAGCGCTGTTTCCAGCCAGACCGATTCAACACTGGTTTTTCCCCCCAGGGAATCCGCACGATTTCAGCAATGTGACCGAGCGGGAAGTGAAGGACGCGGCCGAGAGGATGAGCGCCGGAAGGGCACCGGGCACGGACGGGGTGCCGCCGGAAGCCGTCAAGGCTCTCATGAAAGAGAGGCCGACGGAGTTCGCAGAGATGGTAAACGGACTACTACAGAGGGGCAGCTTCCCCGAAAAGTGGAAGGTGGCCAGGCTCGTGCTTCTCCCGAAACCGGGCAAGCCGCCAGAAAACCCTTCGTCGTACAGACCACTGTGCCTGCTCGACACGACAGGGAAGGCGGTCGAAACCATACTGGCAGCGAGACTGACAAAGGAGCTGGAAGAGAGGCGGGCGATTTCGGACCGCCAATACGGGTTCCGAGCGGGTCGCTCGACGATCGACACGGTCAAAAAAGGCATGGAGCATGCGGTGTCACATACGACCGATCGTATGGTGCAGTTATCGGCTGTTTATGGTTTAAATATGTATATTTAAGGAAAAGCATTCCGACATGTAGAATAAATACGCGCGCCACGCGAGGGAAGTTTGCACAAAAGGGAAAGAGGGAAGGAGAAAACAGTCAGTTAAGCTCGCTCCGACAATCGTAGCCGGTTAGCGCAATAATCGATTACCGGAGGATTCGAAAATAAAGGTGCAAACCCCCGATCGTGAAGCGCGAATGTGGAAAAGACTTCAGTGTCATCAATTCACAACAGTTTCCAGCGGGGGTTTGTATCATTTGGTGTCAGAAGCATTGAGAGAACCTCGTCCACCACGAGGCCTACGAAACTGTCAGGTCAGAGTATCGATCAGCCTTCTCGGAGCCCCAAATCACCGTCGTC